CTCCACCGTGGACCTCCATGGGCTGCAGGGGACAGCCTGCCTCACCATGGTCTTCACTACGGGCTGCAGGGGAATCTCTGCTCCGGCACCTGGAGCACCTGCTCCTGCTCCTTCTTCACTGACCTTAGTGTCTGCAGAGTTGTTTCTCTCACATATTCTCACTCCTCTCTTCTGACTGCTGCTGGTGTTGCAGTTTTTTCCCCCTTCTTAAGTATGTTACCACAGAGGTGCTACCACCATAGCTGATGGGCTTGGCCTTGGCCAGCAGCGGGTCTGTCTTGGAGCCGGCTGGCATTGGCTCTATTGGACATGGGGGAAGCTTCTAGCAGCTTCTCACAGAAGCCACCCTTGTAGCCCCTCTGCTTGCCACGCAAACCCAATACAAGCTCACATTTAGACAGTTACATTTAGAAGTCTGAATCTGGAGCTAAATACCAGTCTATTATTTTATGCAGGATGCACTGATTCATGTATTGATAAGGCAAAAAAGAATAGTAGTGTTGAATTAGCCAGAGTACTGGTGTAACTGGGCCACATAATTCATCCTACAAGTCCTGCTTTAAACCCAGGTAGAAATAAAAATCTTGGGTTTGGAAGATTATTTAAGCATGACTAGAAGTGATTAATGCTTAGAGCTTCAACACTTGCAGTACAGAAAGCGTGTCAAAAATCACTTAATAGAGCAGTTTTAGGCTTACAGACTGATGCGAGTACAAAGCCAAGAAACAGATGCAAATTTTTACTTTGGTACTGCCTTCTAAGCAAATCTGATGCTGGCAGAGAATGCATTTAAAACAATTCAGTGAAACTTTTCAAGATTCTGTTGTAGTTCTGGTTTTAGTTCAGTGAGGTTTATACATGTTTTCTAAGTAAATTTCTTAATGAGGCTGCCTTTCCTCTGAGATGTTTGCTTCACTCACAACTTGACTTTTCTCCCTTCAGGGTGAGCTGAAAGACCTTGCCCTTTCCTGTAGCATAGAAGACATGATTGAACCCCTCTTTCTGAGCATTTCTGGAGAAGTGAAAGGACTGCATGTCACCTACTCAGTACCTTGTGACCGTGGAGTTGCCAGGTAAATCAAGGGTTTACCCCTGAACTGAACAAAAATTACTTCTTCCCAACGCAAAAATGCAGTAGAGACGGGGGGAAAAAACCCCACTTATCTATGTAAACTTCATTCCTCCTCCTGCTGTAGGCAGCAAGGACAGTAAAATGTGCTGGGACAATTCACTGAAGGTGCTTATGTGAAGAAAAGGCACTGGGTTTACACCCTAGCCAAATTCAGCATCTTCATAAGCCCAAGAGAAGACTGGAGAAGAGCACTACTCCACTCCCACCATTGTTTAGCTGAAACAAATTAAATTAACGACTGTGAATTCGTTAATTCATTAACAATAAATTTGTGTGAAGTTAACTGCACTTTAGTGAAACCCGTGTTCATGTGTTGTGTCTGTTCTCCCTTGTGCTCCTGGCACTTGTAGCCTGCCAGTTGCTTTGACACTTTTATGTATGGAGAGCATGAAAAATTACCTTTCTCCCTGGTAACCAAAGTGTGGGACCTCTGCAGTCCCTCACATGTTTGTGAGTAGCAACTATTTTCTGGAATGCCAAAAATTTGCAAATTCAACTGTTGGATGTGAATTTAGAATTACAGAATTATACCCAAGATCTGTATTTTGGACCATTAAGTTTTGTTGTTGCACTGTGAGACATGGTATTAAAGAAAGATGAATATACTTCTCTTTGACTTGGTATATCTGACCGTTAGTTATTTTATTTTTCTGATATGTAGCATGATTACTCTCTTTTGGAATATGCTTGTCTTTATATATTTTTATATAAGTAAAAATGGATTTAATTTCGTAAGTTGGCATGTTATACATCATAAAAATTCTACCCCAAATAAATCCTTATGTGGATAGAAGTGAAAAAACGAAAAGCAGTAAATGCTGATGAGAAACATAATAGGCTGCATGGTCCTTCTACACTCGTCATTACAACCACGTTGCATATTGCACATTTTAAAATCTACTGAAATTATCTGTGGCATAAGAAAATAGGACTGATATTTTAGTACTAAGGTAACTTTTTCTGACAGTGATGAAAGACAAATGTTACAAAGCCCGTGTGATCTTCTTTTGGACTTTGGATCTGAAGTTGCATTTAAAGACATAATAAAGCGTCAGCTAATTCTTACCAATCACACTGGAATCAGTGCTCCATTCAAACTAGAAGCTGAGTATTTTACTGGCTATTCACTTACTCCAGAACAAGGAATCTGCCCGTAAGTCTTGCTTCTCTGCGTAATGACTCAAATACTAATTTAGGTCTGGATTAAATCTGAAATCAAGACAGAGTGCTATTGCCTCTGTCACAAGGTGGATTTTCTGCAGTGCTCTGGTGGGGTTTTTTCAGCTCTTACTCTGACTGTGGTAATGAAACCTGCTGGTGAGAAGCAGATAGCATGCAATGCAAGGACGGAAGATTTAGCTGGTGTAAATGGCAAAACACTATTGTTGCCAATGGACATAAGCTGGTTTATACCAGCCAAGGCTCTGTTGTGTTAGATTGTACACAGACAACTCTCAAGCTGATTCAGTCTTAAGGACGTTACTTTCAAAAAATGCTTTTTAGGCAGTCCTTCTTTAAGTTATAATGGCTACTAATTTAGGAGTCAGGTAGAGCTGTTACTTTAGCAGAGTCCTGCTCATTTCACAGAAGTGTCGTCGTGATTTTTTCGTTTTTTCAAGCTCCTCAAGCTACCTGGTGAAAAGAAGAGGGCCTGTCACAAAACATGCAGCCAGAAGAGCACAGTCAGGTATGAGAATAGCTGTTAATCCCTGCAGTGGAGAGAAGGCAAAAGACAACTGACTAACATATTAAGCATTAAATGTGCCAGTCAGGCATATCATTTCATTCTTGGAGTATCTGGCTAAGTCTACACTGGTAAATGACTTAGTTCCTTAGTTCATTCTTGAGTCTGAAAGCCCCCATTGCATAAGCATTAAGTCAATCTCTCCCCCCTTTTCCCCCCTCCGCTTCTTTTTTCTCTCTCCCCCTCCCTTTCTTTCTCTCTCTCTTTCCTCTTCTTTTTCTCAAAACCAACAGTCTGAAACAAAGATGGGTGGTTCTGGTGATAGTTCACTCCCAGGATCACTCCCAGCACACAGTATGGATGACATGCATAACATTTGGCTATTTCCCTCCTACACAGTCTTCCAATACCATTGCAGCAGGCTTTTCTCCCTCAAACCCTTTTATATACTGTGGAAAACTACAGCACAGCCCATCCATCATTTCTGATGCGTTGTACTGAAAAATAGTAATATTTGGGGCCACACGAGACCTAGGGAGGGGGAAATGGAAGCAAAATGATATAAAATGTGGATGTGTCTTCGGTATCCAAAATAAAACTTGGACATACTGGTACCTTGCCATAGTGTTTGGTATCTGTTACGAAGATAGAGGTTTTCAGCTGTTGAATTAGTACTTAAGATTGAAAAAACGCTGTTCTGACAGGTTCCATGCAAGCTTATTGATTTAGAATGCTAGGTGACTCAGAATGTGGAAAGGCTTTGCTCTTTGTAATTCATTCCTTGCGTTGAAGAGCACACAGAGGTAAACGTGCAGCTGCTAATGGAAAGATAACCAGTTAGCACAAATTCCAGCTTATTTTTCTCAAACTGAGAGTGTGTTTTCATGTAGCCAATTAGTGCCTTGCATATCCCAAAGAGTCCTGGATCAGGTTGTTGGAAGAGAGTCCCTCTATGAAATAATCTCTGCAAGAACTAACTCAAAAAACAGATTAAGACCCACTGCTGAAAGGAACTTGGGTAAAGTGGTATAAATGTGCGTTGTGTGAATGATCCCAGGTTTTTTGAAGCCAGTGAGGCTAGGCTGATTAACACCAGCTAAAAATATGGTCCTATATATCCTTTGAAAGACTAACTTTGTTCCATTTCCTCAAAATTCATCAAATGTTTCTTTGCTATGCTCCTTCAGAGTTTGCAGCAGCAGTGCTGTCTCCTGGGAAGGGAGCAGCTTTCCATATACAACCTTCCACAGGAACTCTGAAAGCCTTCCAGCAGCTAATCATAGAAATAACAGCTTACAACAACATGTGGGGAGAGTACCAGGATGATCTTGTCTGTAAGGTAGGTGGGGCTTCGGTTTTAAGTGAAGTATTGCTATGGCAGATTTTACATCAGTTATATTTCCCAGATTCCTTTCTGTTAAAAATACTTTTTCAGTTTGTTAGGACTTCTCTAAAAATTCAGGAGAGATATTGCTATATGGCTACCTCCAACAACACGTAAGGAACAATTGTTTGCTCTTACAGTGCGTGGTTTAGTTTTGGGATAACATGTTTATCCTTTGGGAGGTTTTCATGTGCCTTTAAAATGACTGGAGCAGTTTTGATTTATAAAATCTGTTTGGTAGCTGGCCAGTGCACTACTCAGCTCTACCAATACAATGTATTGTGTTATATGGAAAAGCCACAGGAAAGCTGATGAATGTATGAGGTAT